TTGACAAAAGGTATATCTAATATAAAACATTCTATCTATCTACTTAACGGTTTCCTTTGGGGTGGAATATCCTGGTTTAGGGAGGGGGGAGGCAGTTAAAATGAATCCAGGACGTGGCTTTAAATTTTCTCTCTGATAAGTCTCCCCCCACAAACAGCCCCCCCCCAATAAAAATGAAAAACACAGCTACTAGTCCTGAGACAGAAGTCTCCATAGCTGCCAATGGAAGATTCTCTCCAGGGGTGGATTCCTACTGGTGTTGGTACCGATTCGCTTCGTAGTTCACTGTAAATTGTTGTGCGCATGGGCGAAGAATATGAAAAACTACGGCAGCAGCGACTTGGGAATTGGTTTGGGGGCATGGCCAGCCTGAGACATTGCCGGTTCTGTGACCAAAGCCAAATTACCACTACTGGTTCACCCAAATTGCTGCGAACCGGTAGAAACCCACCTCTGATTCTCTCTCAGGCTCAGAACTTATAGCAAGGAGAAGCAGGATTCTGACCAGGGTCCTAATCCCATTTCTTTCCTCAGAAGTGTATTGTGTCATGTGCATTCACACATACCCTTGGCCAATTTGCAGTTAAATGTATGCTAAACTATCACACTCCACCAAAGAGAATTCTCTTCTCCTTTGGAAGCATTTTGAAAGCAAATCCTCTTTGCCTCAATTGAATCCAAATTGATAACATTGGCATTGACATTCAACCTTTATTGATTAGTCCTTGGGCCATATCAAAGTCCAAAGTTCCAGAAACAAATAATTGCTAACATTTGATAAAAGCAATTTAAAATAAAATTTGATCAAATGCAATTTAAAATGGAATTGGAAAAAAATATGATTTAAGATGGAATTGGAATAAAATACCATCTGAAATGAAATTGGAATAGAATACAATAATTTAACAAAACTGCAAGTCCTTATTTAGCACTTAAGGACTGGTTAATTTGAGACAAACCATCCTGGAATGTGTGAAAAGCCCTTTGTGCTGATACACTACTAAAGACTAAATTATGCATTTTTGAGGGATGGCAACTCTATGCAGCATGCGAGTATTAGGAGTTTCCTTTAATAATATATTCCACTCCATTTACAGTGTATCTTTCCTCTCTGTTCTTTTTTTTCTGAAATGTGCTCTTCCTGCACAGACCCTCCTGAAGAAAACCCTTATTGCCCTACCTACATATTCCCTGAGCTTCCTGCTTTTCAACCCAAAAGCAAAGGTACCACAACAAGAATATATCTTGTTTTTTTGTTTGGCTAACCATTGTTTCATCTGTCATACTACAATATGACTCATTCAAAAAAATTGAATGCTCTTCCAAACGTCTCCTTGTTTTGCATCGATGGAGACCTTCTGCTCTCCCTTGGGAGTAGTGGATAATATTAGTAGCAAAGTGGGATACAAAAAAACAGAATGGGATAGGACATTGAGAAGTGATGAAGTTCCTCCACTTAAGCATGGCTGCTGTCCAACCCCACTGCTTTTCTCTGCTGCAGAACAAAATCCTTATTCTCCTACTTACCAGTTTCCTGTGTCTACTCCTAGCCCTAGATCTGAAGGTAATTTGTTAAGATCAATTGACTTTTGCTTCCGTACAAGCTTCTGCTTTCTTAATTTTCCAGCCAGAGTGTTTGTAGTCACTGAGTCTCATTTGCTGTCTTTTAAGTGTAGTTGCCGCCAGCTGCTTTTTGCTCTTACATGCTGAATGGTAGAACCTCTTTATTAGTTTTTGCTTCGCTTTTTCAGTTTTCTAACAATCCCCCTAATTAATATTATGGAGCTTGGATTTTCTTTGGTTTGTGTTGTCATTTCAAGATAATTATCCGGGCGTCTGAAATCACACAGCACATAGAGACCGGTCCACAAAGACATACATTTTTATTAAATGGAATGAAAAACCCATGAATGTGTATTTGTCAAAAACTCCTTTCCCAAGGCTGGTGCGGCAAGTGATGGTTGCAAGATCCAGCATGTTTTGTGTGTCACCCACATCTACAGGACCGTGTTCCCTATTAAAAATTGCGTACAATATTCATATCTCCAGCGATCTATTTTCTATGAAATAACAGAATTGCATCCAGTTTTGAAATGGCAAGTTGTTACCCGTGCCATTCTTCTGGATAGAGATGAAATTATGGCATCTTATACTAGAGGATAATCCATGGGAGACTTAAGCTACTTTGAATATTATTGGCCTAGTGCCGTGATGGCGAACCTATGGCACGCGTGCCACAGGTAGTACGCGAAGCCATTTCTGCGGGCACGCGTTGCCCTATCAGCTCCAACGCACATGCATGCACTGGCCAGATGATTTTCGGCCTTGATTTTCGTCCATTTTTCGACGAAATGGAAATGGACTTCCGGTTTGCGCGTTGGGCTGTTTTTCGCCCTCTGGAGGCTTCAGGGAAGCCTCATGAAGCCTCCGGAGGACAAAAAACTGCCCAACGCGCAAACC